GTTCTGGATATACTTTTTCTGGGAAATAAAAAAGCCATCAGAGGTAGAAGAGACTTTGATCCCAAGAAAGTAGCGAAGAGGGCCAAGATCAGATATAAGAAACTGCTCACTAAGATGGGCCTTCACAAAGGCAATATACTCGGGGTAGTCGCCAGTGATGATCATGTCATCGACATAGAGAAGAAGAGTCCGACCATGAGCTGAAAGGTGGAGAAACATCACTGGATTATGAGCACTCGCTGAAAAACCAGCGACAATCACCACAGAGGAAAAACGCTCAAACCAGGCGTGAGGGGCTTGCTTAAGGCCATAGAGAGAGCGACAAAGATGGCAGACCATGCCATCAGGAACATAATACCCATGTGTGGCCTGCATGTAAACCCCCTCACGCAGCTCACCATTAAGAAAGGCATTCTTAACATCAAGTTGAGACAGACCAGTGACGAATAGAGGCCACAACAAGAAATGTGCGAATAGTTGTCATATGGGCACAGGAGCAAAAGTCTCATTGTAATCACGACCATGCTCCTGCTAAAAGCCGCGAGCCACAAGACGAGCTTTGTAGCACTCAAGAGAACCATCGGAGCGAGTCTTAACCTTGTAGACCCACTTACAAGTGATTGGACGAACACCGGGAGGATGAGAAACAAGGTCCCACGCATCAGTGCGCTCAAGAGCAACAAGCTCCTCTACCATCGCAAACTGCCATTCGGGATGAACAACAACTTGACGATAAGAAGTCGGCTCAAGAACAGAAGCACCAACGCTTGGAAAACCAAGGCGATAAACATGCGAAAGCGGATGAGGACGCAAGCCATAAGTAGGCAGAGAGGAGGAAGATGTCACATCAGAAGTAGATGGCTCATCAGTAGATGCATCCACAACACGTGACGACGGGTATAAAAGTGAGATTATGACGGAAGAATGCCAGGAGGAATCACCGGGATAGACTCAGGTGATGGAGACGGAGAAGTTACCGGGGATGAAGGTGCAGAATCATGTGACAAGCGAGGTGAGGAAACCACCGGAGATGGCGATGTCGGATGTGCAATAGTCGGAGAAGCAAGGACAGTAGGACGAACGGAAAGGGGTCAACGGGAGTGATAGGCGTGTCAGGAAAAGTGAGGAAAGAGATCCTCCAATGAAAAGGTCGAGGAAGATGGACGCGGGTAGAAGGGATGAGACTCATCAAAAGACACATCCTGAGAAATACGCATCCGACGACCGACAGGATCCCAACAACGATAGCCCTTATGCTCATCACTATAGCCTAAGAAGACACTTGACAGACTGAGCGAACAGTTTGGTGCGTTGACGAGGGGCAAGAAGAACATAGCAAACACAACCAAACAAATGAAGCGTTGAGTAATCGTGAGAGCGGTCAAAGAGACACTCGAAAGGAGCGCCACCTTGCAGAGCAGTGCACGGCTGAAGGTTGATGAGATAGGTGGAAGCGGAGACAGCCTCACCCAAAAGTGAGGCGCAAGTGAGGCAACGATCTCAAGGTGACGATGCTTGCGCTCAGCCATGCCATTTTGAGCATGAGCACCAGGACAAGAAAACTGAGCAAGAGTGCTAGAGTGCCTTGCTCAGCAAGAACTCCACGCAACATCTTGGAGATATACTCTCCAGTAGAGTCAGTCAGCACGAAACACACGAATAGGCGTAGAGAACTGAGCGTGGACCATGGTAGCAAAATGCTTATAGATAGATAAGACCTCACTACGAGAAGACATGAAATATATTCAGGTGTGGCGAGAGAAATCATCTATAAAGATAATATAGTAGCGATGACCCCGTTTCGAGGCAAATGGAGCTGGACCCCAGACATCAGAGTGAACAAGGTCGAAAGGACGATGAGATACAGTGTCATGTCGCTATGAGGATAAGGTAACTGGACCTGTTTACCAAGCCGACAACCCTGGCAGTCTAAAGACACACCGCCGGAGACGGATCCAAGAAGACCACGTCGAACTAAGAATGAGAGACGAGAGCCACACAAGTGACCAAGGCGATGATGCCATTGTTGAAAAGAACTAGTAGACAAGGCAACTGAGGGGGAGAGACTCGCGGCAGTGGCAGCGGAGGGAAGGTGAGGCCAGTCATGCTTCGAGAGGCCCTGAGAGTCACGGTGCCGGGGGCCAGCACCAAGGAGAGCACCAGTATGACGGTCTAGAACAGACACCGAGTCAAAGTCGACCAGAGTCAACAATCTAACCACCGGACATGAGCTGCATGGTAAGTCGAGGAACATGAGCAACATCAGGAACATGAAAGGACGAAGTGTTAAGAATGCCTCGACCATTAACTGGGAGAGAGGTACCGCCAGTAGTAAAAACATGAACAGGAGAATTAAGAGGTTGAATAGAGGACAAAGTTGATGAATTATGAGTCATATGAAAAGATGCTCCAGTATCAAGAATCCACGGAGATGTACCTGCCTGTGTAGATGGTGGTCTCACAATGCCAAAAGAATCAACAGCAGAACCTGTCGATGGAGCTCGCAGGCATCGAAGTCGCACAATCTCCTGCTCGGTCAGGGGCTCAACTGAAGAGGTCGGTGTAGATGCACCCAACAATAGAGTCAAAGGCCACCAGCAGGGCGCGAAGTCGCGCAATCTCCTCCTCAATGAAGTACATAGCTGAAGTAGTCGAGGCAGTAGCACCGGCAGAGGAGTGACCACCACCACCTCTGGAAGCCGCTAAATGTGGCGGTGTAGCATGACCAGTATTGTCCGCAAAGGCTGGTGGAGGAGACGAGGCCGTATGCAGACAAGCATCAAGCGCCAAGGGAAGACGCGTTTGTGAGGCGCAGTCGATGGAGCCATATGCACCGGCTGTTGTCGGGGAAGAGTGACATTCACCCGTGAAAGTCACGAGAGGAGTCGGTGTAGAGCAACAATCACCATGTGCAGCATAGGAGGAGCCGCATAAAAGCGACCAGCACAACTTGCGAAAGACGCCGAAGGGGATGGTGTCACAGACGAATGAGCATCAAGCATCGAGGAACGACGCATATGCGAGACGGGAGTAGTGAAGAAAACACCGTCAGTAGTCAGCGGGTAGCAAGGGACATGCGGACCCAATGAAAACATCTCTCTCTTTCTCTCTCTCTCTCTCTCTCTCTCTCTCTCTCTCTTTACCAGACTATTCAGCTGACCAACCGACTCAGACGACGGCAGATCAATTCGCAGCTGGAAACCAGGCCGACTCGATCTGCGGCGGCTCAACTTGGAGTGCGAGACAGCGGCCGGCTCAACTGAACAGGTGAAGACCATGCGGTCCAGCGGACCCAAGCTGGACGGGAGGCGGGGAATCCCAATCTAATCACGCAGCACTGGAGAAGCCGCACCAGGGGGCGACTTGGACGGGATCAGCAGCAGGTACATGGACGGGATCCTGCAGCAGCACACCAACGTGGGATGTCACGGGAGGCAGCAGCCTTCACGAGAACCGCGGGGAGTTGACCAGCGGGGCTGGATCCAACAGGCAGCGGGGAGTGGATATCTGCGAATCTGGGAGGCCGGCTGATGGCTGCGTCCCTGCACGGATGGAAGAGACCAGCGGGAGGAGCAGGATTCTTGCAAACGTGCGCGAGCAGAGCAGTAGCAGCAGTTGGAGCACCGACACTGGATTGGAAGCGGCAATCGGCCGGAGAAAGTAGCACCGGTGGCCGACACAAGAATCGGATCGGAATAGCAGAAAACCCCCTTATACAACGGGGTAAATACACAAGGCTACATGGCTATATAAATAGTACTCTAACAGGCAAATCATGTCTTGCAGTCCGTGAGCGTGAACTGATAGAGAATGTTTGGAAACACTAGCAGGAAGGTTTTCAAATGTAACTGTGCAGTAATCCACCATACTTACACATACTATAAAGCCTTGGAATCAATACCTCCTGGACGGAGGGGATGGTTTACCTTGTCCCAATCAATCCTTGACTTGAAACTTTAATTCTGTCCCTCCTGCCCTTACATCACTGGTTTCCATTCTAGGGCAGTAAAAATACCGTAAAATATACTCCCTCCATTTCTAGATATAGGGTGTATTAGTTTTTTTAGAAGTCAAACCTGAGTATCTTTGACCAAGATTTCTGAAAAATTATCAACATCTGATATACTAAATATATAAAATGTAAAAATGTATTTCAAGCTTAATCTAGCAATAATGATTTAGTATTGTAAATGCTGATAACATTTTCTAGAAACTTAGTCAAAGATAGTCATGTTTGACTTTTTAAAAACTAATACACCTTATAAGAAGGAACGGCGGGAGTATTAGTTTAACCCATTCCAACAAATGGTGAGATACAAGTTCGTGCGAAGAAATTGCTGATTTACTTGATCCTGTCCAATGGCCAGACCTGGTGCATGTTGATTGGATCATTTGTTTCCATTAGGGCAGTAAAGAGTACCTGAATTTTTATTACTCCCTCCGATCCAAATTAATTGACGCTAGTTTAGTACAAAGTTGTACCAAATTAATTGACGCTAGTTTAGTACAAAGTTAGTACAACTTTGTACTAGAATAGCGTCAATTAATATGGATCGGAGGGAAATTGCTGAGTTACTAGATCCTGGCCAATGGTGATTGGAGGCTGTGGTAAGACATGGATGATGTCTACAGGAAGAAGATAGGCCTCAGATGCATTGAGAGGATCTGAGGATGGAGAGTTACTAGAGCGATTTGCTTTCTGATATGGATCTGAATATCAGTCTCCTGAATCTAAGAGGTTACCTGATGTTCTTGTAGGCTTTTAATTTGATAGATAACTATGCCTTCTAAGGTGTCGACGTATTTTACTGTGATAATACTGAATGCCCTTGGATCATAGAAGTTTTGTTTTTTAATAGTTACTGCACTTCATAGCTAGGTGTTTGCAAGCATGATATGCATGTGTTTTTTGATTATTAATCCGCTGTATGGTTGCACTAAAGATAATTCATATTATGGTCAACTTTGGTAACACTGACTATGACAGATTGTTTTCTTAGATGATTGTTGGAATGCAAATTTTCTTTTGTTCGACACAGGAACGTCAAAAGTCCGCACGAACAAAGGGAGATATTCAGAAGCTTATGGATGAAGTATGCACCATCAAGGAAATTTTGAAAGATGCAAAGCAATGCCCGCGTTGCAAGATGGCTATATCTAAGATTGATGGATGCAATAAGATGACCTGTTGGAACTGCGGCGAGTTTTTCTGCTACCAATGTAACGCTGCAATTAGTGGATATGATCATTTCAAGTAAGTCCTCTTTTAGTAGGTAGTACCCACGTACTTTTGTTCATTGACATAGCTGTGACTTGACTAATAATTATGCTGTTGCCTCCAGGGGTGATTGTGTGGTATTTGATCAGGTTGAAATCGATAGATTGCAGACACATATGAATCAAAGGCTACACCGCCTGGTTATTGGACGAGTGCAGGCTGCCTTGTTTGCACGAGGACATGCTTACCCGTGTCCTACTTGCGGCCAAGCAATTCGGAAGGTAAATATCGAAAAACCTTGTTTGTAAACCTATCTGAGGACCAGCTAGCGTCTCTAATAAAAATGAGAACGATGCATTTGTCTATCTTTTGCGTCAAGAAACTACTCACGTGCTATTTCATGTACAGCTGCTACTTGTGGTCACCATTTTTCCCTTAAAAAGTTTATTTTTTTTTTCATTTTGAAAAAAGGGGAAGACCCTCGGCCTCTCTATTGGATGATGCACATAGTCATATATTATTAGTTATAGATAATGCCAAATAAATTGGCTTACAAAGAGGAAAAAGAAAAAAATTACTCACGTTTTCACCTCAAGTCATGATTGCCTAGTATAACTGTTTATTACAACACAACTTGAGTAACTTGCACGAGTCATGACTAGCAAGGTGTATTTTTAGTTACTGCTATGTGATGCAGCAACTTATCTTTAGGTCAGTTTACTTTTTGATTGAGCCTCCCAGCATGCTCCTAATGAACTCATATATCTTAACCATATATAGCTTCATTTCGATTGATTCTGTATTATTTGTGTTGGTAACTTGGGCAGATTGGAAACAACAATCATCTGTACTGTTGGTCATGCAACCAACACTGCTGCGCATTGTGCCGCACGTCTGTCCAGAAGATGTCACAGCATTTTGGTCCCGCGGGATGTAAGCAACATACTGCAAATCCCTGATGCTATGCGCGCAGCCTCAAAGTAATTGCAATGCCCAAAGGTTCTCTTGCCTTGTACTCCCTCCGTTCCAAAATAGATGACCCAACTTTTTACTAACTTTAGTACAAAGTTAGTATAAAGTTGGGTATCTATTTTAGAACGGAGGGAGTACTACTGTAACAGCATTTCCTTTCCATCGTATGGTTCTTTGTTAGGCCTTGTTCGTTTAAATCTCCTCTGAAGGGGATTGGAGAGGATTTGGAGGGATTTTGGATTTAATCCCCATCAACCCCTCTCAACCCCCTTCAAATACAGCTGGAACCGAACAAGGCCTTGTCTGCCCACAACCCCCTTCAAATCCATCTGCATGTTGAGGGTGCTGGTTGTCTGTCCCGTTGTATGATGAACAAAATTGTTGTCGTGATGCATTTGCAAAAAATCTTTTAAACCCATGAGGCTGGGATGTGCGTGTGACGAATTAAATTGAATGTTGTGTCTCTGGAAATCAGTATGTGCTTGGTAGAGCAATTTTTTTTGCAAATATACCTACCTTATTGGTCAGAGTGACAAATCAACAAAAGTTGCAACGTACACAATCAACTTTTGGATCAGAGTCAGCGCAAACTTTCATATATGGCAAACCACACATGAACCTTTTATGCATGTTTTGCCTTAAAAATCTATCAGGGAAGGGGTAAAAATACATCGAAGATCAGCCGCGCAGGCCCATGCATGGGTTTCCCGGACTCCAGCGACATAGTTTTTTTTTTGATGGTACTCCAGCGACATAGTATGAAGAAGAGCGGTTCAATACAAGACCAAAACATCTCCGAAAGGAGGATACATATGTTAAAGCTACATGAACAGATATCTCGGGTCCAATTACAGATAAGGACAACAAAAATGTATATTCCATACGCTAGGATAATATTCCATTATTGCATTACCCAAATATCATGTCAGGGTTTTAAGGTACCTTGTACTCCATCTGGTTTATTGGGCCTCTCTTATTTTGGCCATCGATTCAGCTACTAAATGGAAACGTTGCTAAAAGAAAAGGCTAATAAATTGAAACTTTATGTCACAAAATTGTACCATTGGAAATCTCTTTCAAATACAAATCCAGCTATATACTTTTTGTAGCATATACTTTATATATTTTGAGTCAAATAGATGGTCAAAATTTGACCGAAAATACGAGAGGGCCAAATAAACCCAGACGCGGCAGTGCAATGCAGGACAAGCGCATTTGGCTCTCGGGTGTATATGTACTTATTATGAAAAAGTAATTTAGTAATTGTAAAAAATTCTAAAACTTTTATGGAAACAATTTCCCCTTCTATTTACTTGTATAAATTGTTTTGCCAAGGAACGACTTCTATTGTATTCTCGGTGGAAAAACAAACAAAATCAACACTGTATAGAAGTTACTATTTACACATTTTGTCCTCTAGTTTTCTTTGCCCTGAAGTCGATGGGAGTTTTTCCTTCTCGAAACTTTTCATATGAGTGCTACAGAAGGTCAGGTTTTCTCAAAAAGTACAAGATTTTTCTGACCTTTTGCAACTACTAATTAGTTTCTCATATCAGGTGCATATACATCCGAGAGGCTAAATTAACGATTTGTGGATAAAGTAGGATCTCTAGATATGTAACTAGATGAGCATAATATATATGGCAAGCAAGCTCAAAGCAAAGTAAGCTAGATAACAAACTAATTAGCAAACTCACAAGCATACAAAGTAAAGTAAATTGTCAGAACGGATTAAAGTGAGGTGATGACAGCAGATTTTGTCTCGATGTTCACACTTTCTTGGGGAAGTGCTAATCTCCGCTAGAGCAGTGCCAGTGATAAGGCTCCAGAACACCACTAAGTGGCTCGTCATATTCTCCTCGAGTATGTTAGAATAAATCTAGGATGCTAGTTGATATATTAAGGACCAATTAATTATACAAGGCACGTGTCACATCCCTAGCTTCTGGCATTGCACTAGTACTAGCCTTTGGTGATGCATCATGTTTATTTTTTTACAGAAAGTTGAAATGGGGATCGACTAAGCCCTAGCACCAAATGAATTCAACTAGGGTCAAAATAAAACCTTTTTCATTGAACTCAAAATGTCTTCTAAAAATGTTCAACATTTCTGGTTTGAGGTGGAAGCATCTACCAAAAATGGTTTATATTTTTGCAGGACATATTTGGTCACTGAATTAAACCATATTGTATTTGATTTTGGGCATTTAAATACTATAAATAATTTAAATGCTCAAATAAATGTTGGAAATTGATAAGGGTCACTGAAATAATTCAGAAAGCACCCATATTTATTTCCAGGATTTTATAAAAATGATTTGATATTTAAAACAAATCAAAAACAAATTGCAGAAATAGAAAAAAAATAAAACAGAATAAAAATAAGAGGGAGAAGGACTTACCTCAGCCTACCTGCGCAGCCCGCTACTGTTGCCGGCCCAGCTGTGCAGCCCAGCCCACCGAGGACAGAGCCGTCTTCTTCCTTCTGCCAGTAGGCAGAGGGGAAGCGTGGCGCGCGCGCGGGCGTTCCCGGCCACCTCCTGCTTGCCGACGATCCCCTGAACGCGTGGACGACTTTCCCGCGTCGTCCCGATCCCGCTGACCCCCTCGCTCACTCTTCCCCTTCCCTGGCCCTCTCCTTCCCCCCCCCATCGCTCGTCCCCGAGCTCGGTCTGGAGCAGCCATGGCCGCCACCCATCGTCCTTGCGGCCACCAGCCACCCCTCGCCCTTCCGCCGACCCTAGAGGCACCGAAGAAACCTCCTCGTCCTCCCAATCGAGCTACGGGACGCCGGGAGGCCCTGCATCGCCGTCAACCGTCGTCTTCAACCTCCGGATCCGACGGCCCCCTCCGGTCAATCTGTGGCCTCAGCGCGTCCCCGGCTACACCGAGTTGCTCCCCTTCACCGTTGTGAGCTCCTCTTCGTTCTCCCCCTCTCCCCACCATCGATTGCATCCCCTAGCCGTGGTTTCTGTGATGGCCGAGAGCTCGCTGCCGCCGCCGTGAAGCTCGCCGTTGCTAGCGACCCCTGCTGACCATGAAGAGCACCTGGACGAGTTCGACACGTCCCGCAGATGCTTCCCAACCGCCTAGCTTGTTCAATTGCAAGCTGCAGCCCCGTGCCGCTCGAACCCGTAGCTCCGGCCGCCGCCGTTCTGGTCGCCGACGTCGACCCCGACCTCCCTGCGCCCAGCTGCGTGCGCCCCTAGACGCGCGGGAGCACGGGCTCCCTCCTGGTGCCCTCAGGGTGCCCAACCGTAGCCTGTAGCGCCGTCCCGAGCAACTCCGGCGAGGTCTCGCCGTCGCCGTGGTCGCCGGCATCACTAGCTGACGTGGAGCATTAGGTTAGGTGCTAATCACTCGGTTAATTAAACCCCTGTGCATGACATGTGGGACCGCTGCTGTTAAAAACACGGGTTAAGTTAAATAACCCCCTGTTAGCTCTCTATCTCACTGACATGTGGGCCTCGATGTCAGTTTGACTTGCTGATGTGGCTTTTGACTGGCCCCACACGTCAGTGACTCATGCCAGCGGTGTGTCACTGACCAGTGGGCCCCACTGGTCAGGTTTGACCCGGACCAGCCCCTGTTGACTATGCTGAGGTCAGCATGACCTAGTGCTGACGCAATAATTCCTTTCTGGAATTTAGATAATTATTAAATGATTTATAAATTCCAGAAAATTATATAAACTTCCAAAATCCATAGAAAATTAACCGTAACTCCAAATTTAATAAATTATATATGAAAAATTATCAGAAAAATTCAAGGAATCCATCTGTACCATTTTCATGCATGTTAGAACAACTTATAGCTGCTGTTTAGCACAAATCAATTAAAGGGCATTTAAATAATCATATATGGAGTTTGAATTTGAATCTTGGATTCAAACCAACTTCATTTAATCTGGTTTTAGTTGCATTAGCTCAAAACACATTCATTTTGCCATGTCATGATCATGCATCATATTGTGATTGCATTGATTGTGTTCCTTTCTGTGTTGCCGGTATTTGCCCCCTCTCGATAGACGTGTACCGATGATGTGATCGTTGACACTGATGAAAACTCAATGTTATCTTCAGAAGTGCCAGGCAAGCAAAACCCCCTTGTTCATTCCGATACAATCCTACTCTCTCGCTCCTGCTCTCTTTTACTGCATTAGGACAACATCGATTCATCTGTTACTTGCTGCGGTAGCTGAACCCCTTTATCCTCTGCATGACCTGTCATTCCACAGTAATTAGATGAAACCCACTAGCATGAGTAGGAGTTGTTTGAGCCCTGTTGTGCCTACTCATTCATGTTTGTTTGTCATGCCTGCTACTGCTTAGAGTTGAGTCAGGTCTGATTCATCGGGGATGAATCAGAGGTGTGTGAACATGTCCTACTGTGTGTGAGCTAAGTGTGTGAACACGATTTGGTAAAGGTAGCGGTGAGAGGCCATGTAGGAGTACATGGTGGGTTGTCTCATTGCAGCCGTCCTCAGGAACTGAGTTCTGTGTTTGTGATCCATGATTCAGCTACTACCATACATTGGGCCCTGAAATATGACCCCGCTCGACTTCTTAATCACCCTTGTCCTCTGTCCAGGAGTTGCAAGTAGTTTCTGGTGTTTGTAGTATGCTGGAGGCCGTGGACAGCGCTGACCGTAGGGGTGGGCTGTGATGCGGTAGGCACGTGGCCGGGTACACCGGGCGCCCGTTTGGTGTCACGGAACCCTGTTCACATCGTTTGGGGCTGTGAGCGAAACTCCGGCCGGATCTCCTCATGGATGGAACCCGAATAGGCGATAAACCTGGACTAGAGACTTGAGTGTTTAGGTAGGTCGTGGTCTACACCCACGTCGGCTTTCGCTTGAAGTCTGCCGAGCACATGTCGTGTGCAGACGCTAAGTGGTGGAAACATGTATGAAGAAGTACACCCCTGCAGGGTTAACATCATCTATTCGAATAGCCGTGTCCGCGGAAAAGGACTTCTGGGTTGCTTA